GGGACCAAGCCTGAAACCAGGGGCACGTGCCCTGACTGGGAATTGAACCGGGATCTCCTGGCTGGTAGGTTAACGCTCAACCACTGAGCCACACTGTCCGGGCTGTAACACACTCTTTTGATTCCTGAACTTGGAAAGCGTGATTTATTTATACATATAATCTCACATTTTCTTTACACCTTCACTTGCTGACAGATACTCAGGCTGTTTCCATGTCTCGGCTGTTGTGCGTGATGCCACAGTGAGCATGGAAAGGCAGGTACATCTTCAAGACAGTGACTATTTCCTTTGGCTATGTACTCGGAAGTGGGGTGGCTGGGCCACCTACACGGAGCCAAGTGCTGTTACAGGAGCTGCAGATCCTCACTAGCTCACCTTCCAAGCGTCCAATAGTTTATTTGGAAATAATTTTATTTTTATTTATTTATTTTTTAAAATATATCTTTTATTGATTTCAGAGAGAGGAAAGGAGAGGGGGAGAGAGAGGTAGAAACATCCATGATGAGAGAGTCATTGATCGGCTGCAGCCCGCAACCGGGGCCTGTGCCCTGACCGGGAGTCGAACCCTGATCGCCTGGATCCTAGGTCGACGCTCAACCGCTGAGCCACGCCCGGCCGGGCTGGAAATCATTTTAAACTTACAGAAATATTGAAAGGACTACATAACCTTCCCCTTTCTAACCCCATTAGCGTTTTGCCAGCCNGGATCCTAGGTCGACGCTCAACCGCTGAGCCACGCCCAGCCGGGCTGGAAATCATTTTAAACTTACAGAAATATTGAAAGGACTCCTACATAACCTTCCCCTTTCTAACCCCATTAGCGTTTTGCCAGCTGTAACAACCTTAATAGCAAAGAATTTGATCCAGGACGACACACTAAGCCAACCGTATTTCTGTTTAGAGTCCTGCCGTCCTGAACAATGCTGATTCTTTTTACATTTCGTAGGATCTTGATGCTTTTGAAGTTCATAGGCCAATTATTTTGTATAACATCTCTCAATTGGGTGTGTCTGTGTTTTCTTACGATTAGATTCTGATTATATATTGAGTAGAAAAGAATAGGTGCTGTTCTTTTATTATTATTTTTAAAACTTATTGATTGATTTTAGAGAGAGGGGAAGGGAGAAAGATTCGTAAGATGGGAAACTGGGCTTTAGCCGCTCAGGAGGGGAGAGCTGCAGCTTTCCCTAGCTCTGTGGGGTCCTGTAGACTGGCGGCCACAGCATCACCTGGAGACTTGTTGGAAATGCACATGCTCGGGACCCTGCTATCCTGAATCAGAACTGCCGGGCGACTGAGCCCCCCGCCCGGTGGTGACGGACACTGAGTCTGGAAAGCATCGCTGTTTCTCTCTCGGTTCTGACACCCGCAGCGGCATCTCCCCGTGAGAACATTGCCCGCTCGCTCCGGGGGGCAGAGCTCAGAGGCGGTCGCCCAGGTTGAGGCTGCCCTGCGGGTGCCCTGCTTCGGCGGAGGGGCTGGCAGGAGAGGGGCCCACAGCCCACCGACTCCTAGGGCCCTTGTGCCAGGACATGCTGCTGGGTGCCCAGGGCCATCCCACTGACGTGTGGCCCCGGGGGGGTGGGGGGACCGTGCCCGGCCACACTTGGCTGGCAGGTGACCGACCCGCACCGGGAAGGAGTGCCCCCGGCTGGCTGACCAGGTGGCCCTGCGGCCCAGCCCTCCTACCCAGGGCGGACACTGCTCATCCATCGCCAGCCCCGCGTCCAGCCCCAGGACCCCGGCCCCCTGACCAGCTCTGCCGCTTCCTCAGAGCTGACCCGGAAGGCGCCCAGAACCCGCCGCCCGATTCCCTGCCCCTTCCTCGCCCCTTCCTCGCCCCTCCCTCCTGGGGCTTGTCCGACAGAGATCCGGGGACAGGTTTGGAGCAGACCTGGTCAGTTCTTTATTGGAAAGGGGATGCAGTTCGTGATCCGGCAAATCTGCGACCCTAGAAAGATCTCGATCTC